ACTTATTGCAAATTTTTCATTCGCAAATGTCGTTTTTGGCATATTATTGTTTACCAAATTATTGTTTGGCAAAGTATGTTTTGCCAAATGTTTCATTTGGCAAAAATATTTCACGATAAACAATTTACAAAATAATTTGATTGGTGCATAGAATGGCATACAAATAAGCTTGTGGCTAATATTTTGTTTCGTGGGTAGTTAATACAAAAAAAAAATATACCTATATTAATTTTCATATTTCATTCTTTTTATCGAGATTTCCAAATGATTCATTAACAATAGAGGTGATTCTAGCGCTCGGCGGCCGCTGCTGCGGCACGCTTTGCTCGCCTTCGCGCGTTAATGGTCACTGTTCTAACCTAACCTAACCTACTATTTTCTGCAATACCTACTTTCTGCAACCATACTGTTTTCTGCAATCTCTTTGCTTTACATAAAATTCTTGTAAAAACTATGATCATGACGTTCCTATGCTTTGATTTGTGGGTAACGGTGGGTAAGTATGTGAAGTGTCGATTTGACCAAACAAATTGTTTGGAATATAATATTTGGCAAAATAAAACATTTGCTATATAAACATTTGCAAGTAAAATTTGGCCAAATAATAATTTGACCAAATGAATTAGTTGCTAAAAGTTCATTTGGGAAATGAAACTTTGGCGATAAGTTGTTTGCGAAGTAAAATTTGGCGAGAAGTAATTTGGCCAAACGGAAGGATACCGTATTCGTCATTAGAGTGAATAGCCCAAAAAAAGAAATTAGTTTTTTGAAAGGCCTTAATATGGCTTTATTGTAACTTTTTGGACTTTAAATAAAAGCCGTCATTATTATTAGCCATTTTATTGATATTTACCTCAAAGATTAATGTATTTCATTTTATTAATAGGAAATTGTCGTAGTTTTTTAATATCCGGTATCCGGCCGGATAGTGAGTTACTATCCGGTATCCGGCCGGATAGTAAATTTAGGCCGGATATCCGGCCTACCGGATAGTTACCGGATATCCGTTTCATCTCTAGTTGAAAGTATTGCACCTTCCTGTACGTTCAATGTCCGCGACAACAATTGTATGTTGATATGATTAATACATAATTCGTCTATGTAATTAAAATCTATTTAAAATTCGTAATTATCATTTATAGCAAAACAAGATGATTATTAAGATCTAATATGCGCAAAGAAAAATAGTAACGAATAAAAAAAGAAAAATAAGTAAGTAATGCCACAAAATGCACTGTAGCGATTGCAATGGACTCCATTCAGCGCAATAATAATAATAATATGTTGAGTCCCACGGTAAGAAAGCAGGACGCTAGTTAATATCAGACTTTCGAAATATCGAAATCATAAACTCTTTTTAAAAAAAAACCGAACGTTTTTTTCTATACTTCAGGCACCTATATTACAAGAAAAAAGTTTTATTGATTTGTAGTTGTACTGGCATGTTATTTGAAGCACCCTAGCATGATTCTTTTGATTCCGAATTTAAAATTTAAAATTAACAAAAGAAATATAATGATTAATGCTGAAATTATTTTTACTGATTACCTACTCTTTTAAAACCTTCTAAATATTTTCTGCAAATTAAACAATTTATCTGTTTTTTTTAACATTAAGTACCACTTTCTGATATGACTGTTAAGACCGAGAACCGATAAAATTATAGCCTACAATAACTATAATTTTACCGGCCCATATACTAAACTAACTATAAGTTTATAGTAGTGATATTTACAAATAATTCATGTTGCAAAACCAACTGAAAACTTTATGATAATACTCTGTTTAGTCCTGTTACCTTGGAAGTCATACTTTACAGGAGCAACAATGAATAAATTATCTAATTAAGTTATTATCATCAGGTATAATTATTCGGTGGCGGAACATAATTTAATACTTTCGAGAAAATTTGTCCGTGCTTAATGGACCGGTCTATTTAAGTTCTGAGAACGGAGACTGAAACAAGGGCAAAAAGTTTCGAACAACAAAACGAATGGAGCCAGTGTCCATTCCCAAGATGGTTAATAGCAGTAGGGGAGACCGAGGTGAGTTGTAACAGAGGAGAGTTGTGACATTGTCGATTTTATGGAACTTATTAACTACTAGCGAGCTCTTAACAGTGCGCGTTTTTTAGTTTAAGGCAGGGTAGCACCATCTTACTTTGAGTTTAACAAACGTCTAAAATCTGTCAAACTCCATACAAAATACGCCGGTTATCGTTATACTTACGGTCAAAGTTAGGTGGTGCAACTCGGCCTAAGTTGCGAGCTCTAGGTTTCCAAAAATCGACAAAGTCACAACTGTCCCCTGTTATAACTCTCCTCGGTCTCCCCTACTTTGACTGTTGCATAATGAAAAGTTAAAGCATTCACATCTAGTAATAAAGTTCGCTAATTATTTATGCTAATGGACTCCGCTTCGAGACGCTTGAATATGCCAATAGTGAAATCAAGTTGGGCTAGAGCAAAATATTTCCATTCAAAAGTGGACTGAATAATTAGAGAGCATTGTTAAATGTATGGAGTTTACTGCCAGTTTTATTTCAACCGTCTGTTTTTGTAAAATTACTTTCACCTTTTCATATTATTATACACAGGTACCTAAGTACATTTTCCTCAATTTTATTAGTGTTTTTTGAATGATCAAACGAACTTACCAAGTGAAGTTCGATCTAAATTATCCTGTCTTCGCCGAAGAGATTTATTTTACCATGTAGTACCCCTGTACGACAACCCAATCCGCACACAATATTCAGCGTAGTAGTATTAAAAAACAAAAGAGCGGGCAACCCCACCCCTACCACGCTGTGGGCTCGGTGTCCGAGCGGTTTCATTATATTTAGANCAACAGCACATTCTATGGCTAGTAGCTCAGCTTGAAAGACGGTGCAGCTATTGTGTAGTTTCAATTTCCGAATTACGGGTGCATTATTTGGTTTATAGATGACGATTGCTGCTCCAACGTCACCATCTTCCAACTTACTACCATCAGTGAATATTTTGGTGCTGTTAGGTGGGCAATGTCTGTCAATATCATTTTGGGTATAAGCTGACGAAAATTGGATACCTTGTCTAGCGGCGGGGTGAGCTAGTTTTGTCGGTGGAGTGCGCTTATCTAGTGTTATATCGGGAGGGAGGTAAGGGGAGCAGCCCGTGAGCTTAGTACGTTCGATTATGCACACCTCTTGAACTTTTAAGTCCAGTGGGATAAATTGTGCAAGGGTAATGGCCGCAATAGTGGAGACAGTTCGAAAGCCACGTATCGTTTTGACAGCAAAACCACGTTGTACGGAGAGTAGTTTTTTACAGACCTTTTTATATTTGATTGCATCTCCCCAGACACCCGCTGCGTAGGTAATTATCGGTTCTATGACTTGTTTGTATATGATTGATATATTTTCACTGTGGATTCCCCAGGTGGGGCGGACAAATTTGCATAGAGCGTGATATATTTTCAGAGCTTTACAAACTATATATTCGGTGTGTTTTATAAATGACAGTTTTTGATCTATGATAATGCCAAGTAGTTTTATGGTATTTTTGAACTGCAGTTGGGTACCCCGATGGGTGATACGGGCTTTTCGTGCTGTTGGCGTAAAACCAATGAGCTGTGTTTTGAGCGGTCCGAAAGTGAGTTTCGCCTCTTCACCCCATGATGTTATTATTTCCAAAGCTGCGTTGGTATATTGTTCAAGATCTGAGGTGCTTTTTGCTGTGCAGATTAGTAGGACGTCATCTGCGTATGCCTGAAGGTAGCATCCTGTAGGTAGTTTCTGTTCAAAGAGCTCATCCAGTATTATGTTCCAGAAGCTCGGTCCGCAGACCGAGCCCTGGATGCATCCTCTAGTCATCGTTTTAGTGGAACTGGCGTCAGCATAATTAAGGGTGACAGTTCGGTTATTAAGGTAGTCAAGTATAAATTTGTACAGATTTTTGGGACAATCGGCATTTTGGAGCCTCTGGAGTAACTTGGGCCACCAGGCGTTATTAAAGGCCCCCTGTATGTCCAAGGAGACAGCTATAACATGTTGTTTGTTTTGGCGGTGAGATCGAATTTTATTTATAGCTTTGTTTAGCGCATCTACCGTCGAGGTCTGCTCTTTAAACCCAAATTGCTTTGGGTTCATGAAGCCCTTGGTATACAGGAAATGATTTAATCGTTTAATGATTAGTTTTTCTACCAGTTTTCCAAAAACACTGATTAATCCAATCGGCCGATAGGAATTTGCATCATTATAGTCATTTTTGTTTGGTTTAGGCACTGTGATGACCTGTGCTCTTTTCCAGGTGTTCGGAAAATATGATAGTTCCAGGCAGCGATTTATGAGGCGCGTGATCATTTCGGGATAGCTATGGCAGCAAGCAGATACAATATCTGATGTAAGATGGTCCGGTCCGGGAGCCTTCTTAGGATTCATGCTGTCGATGCAGGACAGCATTTCTTCTTCGGTGAAATGAGTATCATCCGACGTGTCTGGTAACTGCGTACTTTGTTGTCTGACGCTTTTGTGGCAATCGAGGACATCTGGTGTGTCGTCGTTATAAAAGGTTTCGAGTAATTTTGCAGCAGTTTCCTCGCTGTTTTTAGTAAAAACACCATCAAAGTTGAGAGTGACAGTAGGTTTAGGTGGTGGAGCGCGGCTTAATAGCCGGTTTGTGAGAGACCAGACGTTTTCCTTACCTTGGCGATTACAGAATTCACGAAAGTTAGTTGTGGAGGCGGTTTGAAGCATTTCAGCATACTTTTCTTTAGCCTCAGNGCTCTTTTGTTTTTTAATACTACTACGCTGAATATTGTGTGCGGATTGGGTTGTCGTACAGGGGTACTACATGGTAAAATAAATCTCGGAGGCGAAAGCAGGATAATTAATGATTTTGGCTTATCAAGAAGACGGTTTTCTGGAGAAAAGCCACTTGTGGTTTTATCCGATATCAGTTTTGTGATTTGGATTTGATACATTTATTCTGTTTTTACGATACAATCAGAGTTTATGTTTCTACTTAGTGTTCTCCAGATTCTATACTACTATTACTACTATCTAAACAAAAAATATTTTTTATCATAGTTCAAGTTAAATTAGATTTTCCTTTCGAGTAATTATTTTTATTCTAGGCTTATTTCACAGATTTTTGGTAAACGATGGATGAAGGGATGTATGATCTAGACTTTATATTATGAAGCTACGAAATTATTTGTTTATTAGGCTATTACATTGTTCGGTTGGTAATAAAACGACAGTTTCTCGTATCCCGTAACGATCACTGAGTACGTTTTAAAAATATTTTCAAAAATCTTCAACATGGAAACATCACAAAAATTTCGTAGTCCAACTTTTGCCAACGTGTGCAAGTTTCATATTTTCCATTCATAAGTTTAGGATCCAATTTAAATTCGTAAGTTACCTCTATGCGGAGGGCACGTGCACTCGAAGTTGTCCCTCGGGGATTTAATGGGCATGCTGCCTTGTCTTCGGAAGAAGTACTCGATGGGGGCCTGGGGTGCTGACCACGACCATTTGTGCCACGGGAGACCACCTCCTTCGAGGATCGGGAGGATTATAAGTATCACCGCTTTCTGCAAAACATGGAAAATGATTTGGTTTCGTGGGTTTCGTAAAAATGAAGCTAGCCAAAGATACGGGGTAAAAACATTAAATAGTTTACATTATTAATTTATTTACAAGTCGCGGAAATTATACGTCTAAAATGGGGAGTCGAGAGCGAGAAAAAAACAAAAGAGTATCGAAATTCGTCGACGAAACGATGCAGTTTTCTTGATGGCCAGTGACGCGCATCCAAGGAGGCGAGCATATTTATATAAGTTATTATCTATTCATCTAAGTACCATAATATTATAATATCATGGTCTTAATATACAATGTGTGTTTTTTGACCAACTGACGGAATCCGTCCGACTATTGATTGAAACCGAACAGCAAGCACGAACACGTACTTACCTAGACCTACATTGTCTAAAATCAATGCCACGATCAGATTTATTTTGTGTCTTTTATTTCAATCTAGTGTATGTTGGATTCTAATTGTTATTAATGGTGATTCACTCTACAAATAATACCTATCGCTCCCCTACACAGCCTAAGCTTTCTCTACTTTTTCTTTTCTAATCGTTTACTAGTATTAGGACAGAGGACGTTAAATAAAGTAAGTTTGATACTTTTACCATCAATTTATTAACCTTTGCTTAAATAGTATAATCTTGAGTAATATTAACCTCAAATTCAGGACGATTGTCAACATAATTAAAAAACTTCTCTTGAGAATCAGTGACGTTTAAATTGTAAACAATATATTCATTTGGGGTCCTTCTCTTTATTTTTTTCAGACAAAGGCCAGAGTAGTTTTTGCATTTAGTTCTTTTAATTTTTTGCGTGACTGTCGTTTCTTCTGAGTATAATAAGTCCAATAGTTTTGGGTCTTCTTCATCCGTATCTATCGTTGGCGTTGTTTTTTCAGTAGTAGTTTCGGTTGTAGTAATTGCTTCTGTCGTAGTGGTTGATTTTGTTGAAGTAGTTGCTTCTGTAGTCGTAGTTGCTTCTGTAGTCGTAGTTGCTTCTGTAGTCGTAGTTGCTTCTGTAGTAGTAGTTGCTTCTGTAGTGGTAGTTGTTTCTGTAGTGGTAGTTGCTTCTGTAGTAGTTGTTGCTTCGGTTGTAGTGGTTGCTTCAGTTGTAGTTGTGGCTTCTGTTGTTGTTGTTTCTGTAGTAGTTGTTGCTTCAGTTGTTGTTGTTGTCGTAGTAGTGGTTGATTCTGTGGTAGGATTTTCTCTAAGCGTTGGACAAGTTGTCAATGCCGTCCGTTTAGGCTTAGTTCTGAACGGCGCGTTAGGCCGCATCGAATGAACTTTCAATGCATCTCTTTGGTAATTACTCCTGTACGCTTTGACACCCTTCTTACCAATGTAAAGCGGGAATGACAGCACGAAATTTTTGCCATTCGCACATTCACCCTCGCACAGTCTATAAGGTGCCGTGAATAATAAATACTCCGGTCGTTCCGTTATTTCTAGAACACAACGCACAATTTACAAAAGTGTGATTCAATTAGTTGGCTTCGTCGACATTTATTTTGGTAGTATGAAGGAAATACTCACTCTCTCCATGGACAATTCTTCTAACGTACTGTTCACCGTCTGTGGCGCTTTGATAGACTTCAACAGCTGCCCGTCTATTTTCTGAGGCGACCGCTTTTAAAAGTGTGAGACAACTAAAACAATCACCATAATTTTACTCATTCAACTCCACGTTGTTTCCAATTTCATCATCAACTGGATTATAGGAACTATTTCGTTCACCTCAAAATTAAATGAACTTGGAGAACAAAACCCGAGAGAATTGTATTAACTTTTATCGGCTTCTGGTCTCGCTTCATATTATTATTTCAATAATATTTTACGATGAAACGTGAAATGTGATAGATTGAAAATGTTTGCGTACGATCGAGGCAGGTTAACGAGTATTTCGCATTACGACGCGAATAACTAACATTATATTATTAATTGTTTCTCAAAATTCGATGAGTTATGCGTGAAATTTAAATTGTGTGTCAACTTATCATCTGAATTATGCCATCGTAATAAATGTTGGTTTACGTGGCAGGAGTTATTAATAAAAGTGCTGGTCTTTTTTTATTTGCGATTCTACTAAGGCGTACTTATCTTACTTGAGAATTCTGTTTCCTCATTCAGCCTACATAATAATATTACATCTATCCGCCTACTACACATCCTCTCTTATATTTCAAACGTCCTTCACTTTTCGAGTCCACGTGGACTCTGCTCTATCAAAATAACTGCATCGGATGCAGTACATGAGTGGTGGCTAAAAGTTAGTTTTTTTCTTGAATTTGAAACTAAAAATTAAAGATTTTTAATATTTTTTAAATGTTAATGTAATACTGGGGTGTGTAAAAGCGCTTTTTAATTTAGTGACTTTTGTCACTTTATGACTCTATTCAGACGCATAACCCAAGCACAAATACAATTGGAAGTTTTTATTAATACTTTTGTGAAGCCTCAATGTAACCTTGTTGGTGTTCAAATAAATAAATAAATATTAATTATCTGTCTTAGTCCACGCATTACATGATTAATACTATAACGTATTGACACATAGCGCAAGGCAGACATAATTAATTTACCTTTGAGTCAGCTTACAGGCATATTAAACTAGTAATCAATGTAGATTGTATTGAGCTCAGTAGCTAGCATTAACTAGATGTGTCATTTTCAGATGCGATAGGCATTTAATTAATGGACCGTGCCTGAAAACAGATTTTGATGTTAAGCAGCATAAAGCACAATTATAAAACTTAAGTAGAGTCCTACTTAAAATCTAAGCTCCTCTCTGTCTTTCTGTATCGTAGTTATGTCAGTGGGTAATTTTTGGGTAGGATTTTTAAATAATAATAATAAATAAACAAATATCCTTGGACATTTACACTGCGCTTCTAGTCCCAAACTAAGCAAAGCTTGTATTATGGGTACTAGACAACGGATATAAATATAGGTACTTAAATACGTTTTTTTTGTAAATACATATTTATTATACATAGAAAATTATGTTCATGCACACAAATGTTTGTACTGTGCGGGAATCGAACCCGCTACCTCCGGAATAGTAGTCCGTTTCGAGCCACTACACCAGACGGCCGACGTTGAAATTATTCCACTAATTTATAAATGCGAAAGTTTGTATGGATGTATGTACTTTAGTTTACTCTTTTTACTCAGTACTTATTATTGTTTATAATCAGAATAACATAAGGACAGGCGAAACCGTGGACAAAAGCTAGTTAAACTTCTTTTCTGTTAATATTTAATAAATCAATCGTTATTATTAATAAAAAATAAATAAACCACATAATTATGTATAATCTAATAGTATCCCCTTTGAAATTATGCTGTACTAGCGGCCGCCCGCGACTTCGTACGCGTGAATCTCGTTTTCCCCCTCCCCCTTCATCTATCTTACGCGGTTCGCTAGCTCCCGTTCCCGTGGGAATTTTGCAATATCCTGTTGTAAATAAGCTTTAAGTTTACTAAGGTACCTGCATGCCAAATTTCAAGAGTCTATCTTACGCGGTTTAGATTTTTTCATACAAATGTTTTTTCCCACTAACTCCCGTTCCCGTGGGAATTTTGCAATATCCTGTTGTAACTAAGCTTTAAGTTTACTAAGATACCTGCATGCCAAATTTCAAGAGTCTATCTTACGCGATTTAGATTTTTCATACAAATGTTTTTTCCCGCTAACTCCCGTTCCCGTGGGAATTTTGCAATATCCTGTTGTAACTAAGCTTTAAGTTTACTTAGGTACCTGCATGCCAAATTTCAAGAGTCTATCTTACGCGGTTTAGATTTTTTCATACAAATGTTTTTTCCCACTAACTCCCGTTCCCGTGGGAATTTTCCAATATCCTTTTGTAACTAACCTTAAAGTTTACTAAGGTACCACCATGCCAAATTTCAAGCGTCTAGCTTAAGCGGTTTAGATTTTTCATACAAAAGAATTTTCCCGCTAATTCCCGTTCCCATGGGAATTCCTAAGTATCCTATAACCTCCCCAGGAGTATGAAGAATAATTGTACCAAGTTTCGTCAAAATCCGTCTAGTAGTTTTTGTTTCTATAAGGAACACACATACAGACAGACAGACAGACAGACAGACAGACAGACAGACAAAAATTTTACTGATTGCATTTTTGGCATCAGTATCGATCACTAATCACCCCCTGATAGTTATTTTGAAAATATATTTCATGTACAGAATTGACCTCTCTATAGATTTATTATAAGTATAGATAAATAAAATCCATTCGTTAAATTAAAAGGCCAGCTATGCGACTAGCTGCATTTTCTAATTAAAAAAAAGCACCGACTAACATTTTTTGTAATGTAAACGTTTCAATATTTCGGCAGCTTTACATACCGAAAGTACGGTCAAAGGGTTATTAAAAATTCGGTCATGGTAAATATGTTTTATGAACTTCGTACGTAAACAAAAAAACCATACGCTTTGCTATATTATATTTGTATCATACTCGTAGTATAAAAAACAGTGATAAATGTTGAAATCAAATAGTACAAGTCAGATTTCATAAATGTGTGATACACATCAAGTCGAGTTTCCTCATTTGATCGATTTGTAATTTATTAATAGAACCGAGACTGGTGTGCGTGAATGTTTTTGGAGATATATTTGTTACTGAGACACGTAAAAACTACTGAATAAATAAATAACTTAACTGTTAAGTAATAAGGCTTAGAACAATGGTAATTATTATTGATATCTACGCGAAAAACTTGCGAGAAAAAGTTTGATGGGTATTTATTTCTCATAGTAAATTATGTTCCTTTTTCTGCCGTATCTAATGAGCCGTGGCAGCACCAAACATTCGTGGTTGCGTGGGCCTACCCAAAAGCTCGTACCAATAGATGGCACTGTGCTTAGTTAGATCGCGGTTTCATTTGGTTTTTTCCGAATCATGATAAGATCTGAGATATCCAGTAGTCGGTAGCAATAATTAGATTTAAGTTTAGGTTAAGGACTCCTGTCTAGTACAGTGTATACGGGTGATTCAAGCGTATCACCCAAATTTTTGCAGCGACTTCGTATCCTTTATGGATACGTATGTCGCTTATAATGATACTATATTCGTCGATGTTATTGCGTGCGTTATTGCTCCAGTAATTAAGATGCATAGCATAATTATGCTAATATAAGTTTATTTAATTTATTTCATTTGTTAAAATTTAGTTATTATGACTGAACGAACATGTATGACTGTAACGTAACGTAATTTACGACGTGCATAAGTGCCCTGAAAAAGGGCCGATCTAATAACGACTTTCAATTTGAAGTTAAACTAAGAGAGAAAAATAAATAGAGCTAAAATAAATAGAAAAGCGTCAAGTATTTAAAATCAGTTATAAATATACTATTTTAATTCAACCATCCGACAGTGACATAATTATCCAATTATTCAAAGCCATAAATTACAGTTCTGATTGGGGCCGTAAAACATAACCCGCTTCCGCAACGTCGGTCTATTGTCTCAAATATTTACAGGCTGCGATTTATATCTGTCGCAGAATCCAAACTCTTTCCAATTGGCTAAAGAGGTAGACGATTGTTTTCCTGGGCAAGCGATAAAAATAGCTGCCCAAGACATTGGCCTAGCCCAAGGAAATAGTGAAATATTTGGCTCTTGACACACTGATGTGTTTCTAAATTACTCATTCCCCATGTCCGAAAAATCTAATTTTTTGCCACCGCGACATTTTTTTTTACATTCATGGGCAGCTGTTACAGTTTTATGTAACTTTTAGAAAGTTGCTAAGTGGTATATTAGGAGAGCTTGTAGAATGCATAGGTGCCTAACAGTACCGACCAGTAACTTCGTCAGAGTTAAATTATTTGTCAAACAGTTCAGTGAACCAAGCCATCTCATTTAAAATAAATAAATAATAATATCCTTGGACATTTTACACTGCGCTTCTAGTCCCAAACTAAGCAAAGCAAAGCTATGGGTACTTACTAGACAACGGATATAAACATATTTAAATATTTTTTTTGTAAATACATACGTATTATACATAGTAACACCCAGACCCGACACAAAAATTAAAATTCATCATTTCAATTTCTACCCGGCCGGGAATCGAACCCGGGTCCTCTCGGCATAGTAGTCCGTTCCGAAACCACTACACCAAACGGCCGACTTAATAATAATTACTTTATAATAATTTTATTTATTACTTTATAATAATTTAATACTAATAAAAAGTACCCCAAATTTTATGTTAAATTACATAACATAAATCTTTTATCTTTTTTTGGATTCCACATTTTTGCATAACAATTTTTCAGAATTTTCATTTTTTAACTCAGAGATAGAATTATGCTTTCAAAAATCGTTTAATCAAAAGAATTTATAGATTTAAAGCATGGACTTATAAAAAAAGGCGGACGGAACTCGCGCTACAACAAAACTGTGACGCAAAATTTTGGCGTTTGTCTATTGTGTGAGTGAATTTAGGGATGCCATGTTAGCCAAAACATTTTACCCATTTATTTTAAGAAAAACATAGATCGGCAGATGT